TTAATTTCTAAAAATTAGAAAATACTTTTTATTAGAAAAAACAGTGTTTTCCAATTTCAAGCATGCAAAATATAACGACGTGCTGAAAATTGATTTTTTCCCACATCAATAAAATATTCAGGAAAGCAAAATTATGATGGATAAGTTTGTATTATTTAACAGTACGGGGAAAGCAGCGATTGTTACCATGTTAGAATTGATACACTGGATTTTCTTTGGTATAAAAGCTCAAAAAGTTTTACATGAAGATACGATGATGCTTCTTTTTTTTCCCAATATATCTTTTTTAAGTTAGCAATTCAACTTCTAATTTAAATTTTTTGCATTAAAAATGCATTAAATTTCAGTTCTCCGATACAAATGATGCATTAAATTTCAGTTCTCCGATACATATCCATCATACTGCTGCTATTCATCAATATATTCGAAAGTAACAGTTCACTTTTCTTCAGTATTATAATGAAGAACATAGTAGAATACGTCTACTTATAATTTTTAAAGACAAGATAGTTGAGGTGATAAAAATAAGTCAGTTTCTGGATAGATTTTTGATCTTTTGATTTATTTGATATGTTCAAGAAAAATTCGAAAAATTCGTCCAATATACATGACATTTATCCTATTCCTGAATCATGTGACGTGCCACTTTCCAACATCGGTTTTCAGTTTAAGTATATTTTATAAGTATCATTAGATCAGAAGTGAATAGTAACAAACATGTGCGAGAAGTGAGAAATGTATTTGAAAGTATCTAACACCTTATTTCTCTTTATAACTTTAGACAAGCATATTCATTAACCTTTTCAATTTTTTTTGTCTTTTTGCTTTAGCGAGAAAATTATAAACGAAGTAGGAGAAGAATAGAGGTGGCAATAGTGAAACTTTATACATGGAAATGAATGATGGTCTGGTTAGATTATGTATCATCAAATGTTTTTATTTGATTTTGGACGTCTGCGTAGGTGGGTTATTTGTGTGGGTGTGTCCACATGAAGGACACGGCTTTTTTAATAGTGTAAATATTTGCTATTTTTCCTCTGTTTCTCCGTTCTTCGAGAGAGTTTATTTATTTGGGAGGCTTAGCTTTTCGGTGTCGTGTGTTTTGGGATGGAGAGGAGGACGTGGAAAGGTGGAGGATGGTCGTCTGTGTTGGTGTGGTAGATTTGCTGAAAAGCGGTAGGACGAGAGAAAATAAATTTGTAGTTTGGGGAGGGGGAGAAGAAGAAAAGGCGTTTTGCTAAGCAAAAGGTTAAAAAAGCTGTTTCATTGATCATAGGATTATTGCAGCCTGCAGACTTCGATAATGTATGTTAGAATGAAGGCAAAAAAAATCACTGAATAAATGTTTTTTCACTAATATTTATTTATGTTAGGGAAAATTTACAAGAATCTGTTCCAACTTTTACGGGCAGAAAATATTTATCAAAATATTCTCTAATTCTTTATCTAACAATCAGCCGATAATTCATTCACACTTAACCATTAGATGTTCTATGAATGTTGAAAGATTTGTTGCAACAACTTTCTAGTGTTATATATTTTCTAAACTTTTTTATCTCAAAATAAGATTGGATATCCTTTTTTTCTTTCGCGAAATGTCGTTTTCACCCATGACGTAAACGTCTTGTTCTTTTCTCCCTTTTTTCCTCCTTCATTTGACTTAAACATTTTTGCTGTTTAACTTTCAACAGGTCTTTGGAGTGCTTTCCTACAAAATCCAGCTGAGGAAGAAAATTTCATCGGTTTTATTACGGTGGCATTAAGTTATGGTTATACGTCCAATATCGCCACCAGGATTACCATCTATGTATGAGGTAGTTTGCATTGTTGTTTTGTTTGATTAAAATTTTTCATATATTACTAAATTATCGTTGTTTGCATGATTCGAAATATAATGAATGGATCGGATGCGACTTAATTCTCGAGTCTGATATCGTATTCCTGCTTAATACTTGTGTTCATTAATGAATTTATTTTGCTAAATCGCATTTAATCATTGTTTTCTTATTCTGTGGAAATATAGTATTTTTATTAAATCTCGTTACGCCCTTTCCATTAATAGTAAATTTGAAAACTTTATTTAATGAGGTAATTAGGAAGCTATGTGAAACATCTGTAATTCATTTATAGCTGCTCTTATCTCAGGTCAAGAAGTTTTAATATTGAGATAGATTCGTTGTTCTTTAACATTGAGCATCGTTGTTAATATCAGTAGGTGATATACTTTTCAAGTGATCATTGGCAAACCCTAGCATTAATTTTTCTTTGGTACCATTCATAAACTCTGGTATAGGTGTTTTCGCAGAAACTGCGCTACATTTGCCAAATGATCACTTGTTTAACATTATGAAGCAAAATCAATGCTTTTGATCGATGATTAGTTTTTCTTTGGTACCATTCATAAACTCTGGTATAGGTGTCTTCGCAGAAACTACGCTACATTTGCCAAATGATCACTTGTTTAACATTATGAAGCAAAATCAATGCTTTTGATCGATGCGTTCCCACTTTGGGTTAGTATACCATAATGATACTAAAGTTACTATGCTGATAATTATAGCTTTACTGTACTGCAATTATAGCTTTATTATATTTTAATTATAGTATCACTTAGTGTTTAGTTTCAATTTTGAATTTGCAATTGTTATTAAGTTACCGGTATTTGCATATGATCATATAATGATTATACTTAATATTTGGTTTGTATTTCTAACAAATTACGCTTTTAAGTTATAGTCGATGATAGGAATTTCTCGAAAGTTCATAATATTTGTTATCTTTCGAATTCAAAAGCAATTTTTTTCTTTAATACAGAAAGCTAAACTTTTTTATTAGCGTTAAATTTATTCTTTAAAATTCTCATCTCATTTTTGTGTAATGTATTTTTCCTCCATCTATATATCGCTTTTTGTAATACTAAATGAAAAAGCATTTATTTCCATCCATTACCATCCATTTTTTTCATTCATTTTTACTTTATAGTAATAATCCTTTCTGAAAGTAACAATTATATCAAACAAGAATGTTGTAAAAAAAGACGCAGTACTAATAGTATTAATATGAATGAAAACACTTCTTAACCTAATATACTGAGAAGGAAGAGATAACTGAAGCTCATTGGCTTATTATTATGCGATGGATAATTATTAGTGGTAGCAATATAATTGTGCCGATATAATTAGCAAGAAGTAAGAAAAAAAAGATGTTATCTTTGTTTACTACAGTAGTAAGCTGTTACAGAAGTCACAAATTTATAGTTTATTATGCTTAAAAAGAGACTATCAATTGGGCATTTTAAAGGCTCTTGATAAGTTGTATGATAATGATATTCTGTGTCAGTCTTATGTATGCCGTTTAAGATTGTTGTAAGATGGGAGGAATGAAGGAAAAATTTGGTAAATCATTAGAATATTCATTACTGAGCCTTTATCTTGTGCTATATAGACATATGGGTTATTCTAATAGCAGTGGATGTTTATATTTGAATGTTATGGAGGACAAATGAATAGTAAAAGAGATAATGAAAATAATGAGCAAAAATCAAGGTACAAAATGAAATTAAAAATAATTTGATTTGAAAATGAGGAAAAAGAAGGTTAATTTACCTGACTTATTCGTATTCATGTACTGATTTCAATAAGCATTTCATACATTATTGCTTGGTAATTTAGATGGAAATCTTGGAACACATCGAGAGATCAAAATATATTTAATAAAAATCATAACTGATGGAATGTTAGTTTCCAAGTATATCATATCAAGTGGATTGATCATTGAGTCAAAAAAAATGATACTGCTAACAGAAAAAAAATGAATAGATTTCGTTTTAGTTGCGATTTTGCGGTTTCGATGGACTGTGCTATGGTTACTGCCGTTACAGTTGATAAAATTTTCATATGGGTAAAAACTATTATTATGCCGCCGGATAATTGCGATAACATCAGCTTCTCTCTCTTTCTCTCTCTCATTTTTTTTATTTTTTAAATGAAAATACCACAACATCATTTATCTACTATGGACTTTCCCAAGCGACTGTTTTGTGAAGTTTATAGAATATACGCGCTCTATGTATAATCATGGATCACTGGATTCATGCTATCATTGGTACAGTTGATTATATATCACAGTATCGTCATTGTAATAAGTATTTTCTTTCCCCTTTTATCAGATAAAATCGCCCACCAACGTATATTCCAAGCCTTTTTTTGGATTTTCGGAATCATCGAAAAACTGTGGAACAGCTGCGCATAATTTTTCTGATACAGATAATCGTATTTTATCACTGACACAGTAATTTTCGAATTCCATAACATCCAAGCATCTAGCGGATACCAAATTACCATTAGCTTAAAGTGGTAAAGTTTCCGAAAATAACGGATAGTCATGGACGTTTATGGATGCTGCAAAAATGTAAAAAAAGAGCGAAACTCCCTCTGGTGATTACAAGCTTCGGTTATTCATTGGACGGTTGGTAGTGAGGCGTTTGGCATTGATTATGGTGAAGGTTTTGTTGTGTTGCTATTTGATTCATCTTGAAAAAATACAATAGACCAAAAATGTTGCCATTTTTGATTCCTTCTATCGTTTGTTGTTACGGCAAGCTAACAGCTACATCTTCTTGAAGACTTTTGTAGCTGCTGTTGATACAAAGGTGGAACGAATACAGTTTTGTTATATTGCTACTATCATTTACTATCGTCTGTTGTTGTTGTTGTTGTTGTATTATCATCATCTTTCTCAGTTTAGAAAGAATTTCATATTGTAATTTCATCTGCTGAGATGTACAATGTATACAATCATCTCCATTAACATCGGTTTCGTTAGTTCATTATCTTGATTCGATTTCGATTCCTACTATTGAAAATTTCTTCACTGAATGCTATTATTATTATTATCATTATTATTATTATGCAACTTTTACTCCTTTTCAAATCACTTAAGCTAAGCTTACTACTATTTATAATTCATAGAAGGAAATTTTTCTTCAAAATTATTTCAAAATGAGTCAGTCAGTGGTAAACTGTAACAGCAACAATCATCACCATCAACAACAACGACAACAACAACAACAATCCCAACATCAAAATAGCAGGAATGTATATAATATTGTTGTCGCACCAGCATGTTCTGGTCTTACCAATTATCCTGCAACTCTTGATGACGACTTACCCCCTATAGGAGTTTCTGATAGTACTTCGATTACTAATACTACTGATGCTACCGTTGCATTTGATCGTTCTCGTCAAACACGTGTTATTGTTGCACCAAATATATCATCATCATCACCATCATTATCATTATCATCAGTATCATCGTCAGCAGTATCAGTATCAGCATCAGCTGATGTTCCACAGCAACAGCCTCATTCAAGTACCGAAGAACCTTCATCCAATCCTGCTTTATATGGTACAACAACTTCATCATCACCTTATCTTACTGCACAAGCAGGCTATCTATCCAGTCATTCACCGTCTGTGCTACATTCATCTTGTTCAAGTTCAAATTTTGTTTATTCATCCAATTTCTTCCAACCATACTATGGCTTATCACCGACACTGAATGAATTCAATGTGTTGCAGATGTGTTGTCAACCATTGTTTACTGAAGTGTGTCTCTTTTTTTCTTTTTTATTTTTTTGAATCTGTAGTTATTTTTTGATTTTTTGGCTACCTTAAATTCATCTAGCATATATTTAATTTTAGTTTTAGTTCAAATTTTTTCTATATTTGTTCTATTTTAAAATTATGTTAAAAAGATTAATATAAGAAGGTAATGGTTGAAAAGGTCATGTGTACTTAGTACGGCATGATTGAATTTCGTCATAAAAAGAGTAATGATGGAGTGATATCGGCTATATTATCATGCTGTATAAGTCTCTATAATAAGAGGTCTAATAAATTAGGCGATACCGTATAGCTTTTTAATTTGCACCACTTTTTTGAAAAATACTTCCGAACAATTCCAGTCATTTTTTCATTTGATGAAATAAATAAATTTAAATAATGGGAATAACCATTCATTCCTTAAAATATTTCAAAGTATCCAAAAAAAAGAAAAAAAGATTTTTCATTGATGACAATTATAAATTGATATATTGGTAATAAAATTTAGACACAGTAAAAATAGCAGTGGTAATCATATGTTGATAATGATGTTGAAATATGGTCATTATCAGTAGCTTGCTTTTTCCTGATAGTATAAAAAGGTCATCAATAAGATATTGGTAGTTTTTTTCCCCCAGTCATTTCAAAAGCTTGCCAAGTTGGAAGAGATTTTATTTTTTGTTTGCTTTAGAAAGGAATTGGTTAATAGAAATTTAACTTTTTTTCAAGGCTTCACTTCAAAATTGTTCACATTTAGAGAAGAATGAATACGGCAATGATTCCAGCCGTCATTTATGGCAAATGCTTTCGATTCATAAAGGGACTAAAAAAGTTTTTCGATTTGTCTTTTCCTTTCACGATGATTATGTTAATTTTTACAGATAGCATCGCAAGGAACTGATATAGCACCTACAGCCGAATCGTTGTACGGATTTGCCAATCGTCTACATCCGATTACGCCAACCGGTAAAAATTTATTCATCATTTTTCTCTTTTTGACTATTCATTTGAAGATGATCAAACTGAGTAATTATATTGACCTTTCATATTTCAGCGTAATACGTTAGTCATTCTTAATCCTTAGCCTTTTTTGACGTTGATTTTAAGCCGGAACTTGCTGTCAACGAGATATCTTTTTAACAAATAAAAGATAAAAAAATTGGAAAAGAAAACGAAACAAAAACAGGAAAGGGAGGAGGGAAGGAGGATGAAAAGAATTTACCATAAATACACTCTGCCAAAATGTTTTAACGATTTTGGAATTTCAGTATTTCTTATTGAATCGGAACTAAAACCAAAGAGTTAGATATTGCTATGATTTGCGATTATAATTCTAACACAATTGCTAATTTGATTCCGAAAAATTGAATCTTTTAATTTTTTCCGTCCAATTTTACATCTTTTGTCATAAAAAATTTTTTCTTTCCTGTTTGCTACATTTTTTTCGTATTTTGAGGTGTCAATTATTTTTTATTTTCCATAGGATCAGTGATACCAAGTTGTAATCTTTGTCGTTCATGCACGTAGGCTTGCTTATTTCCTGCACTAAATTTATGTTGCATATATTTTGCTGCTTACTTTATCTGTTCTATTGATAGTTTATTTATCCGGTTGCTAATTTTCCTATTTACTTATTTTCCTTCAAATTATTCTCTTACTCCTTCCAGCGTTAATGCTCTCAATAAATTTTTTTTCATTTACGTACACTGTATCCATTATTTTCATTTGTTCATTCTATTATGACATGTCATATGGTCATGTAACATTACTTACCAATCAATGAACCGTCGGTAATTTTTTATATTGTAACCATAACGTTTCCTAAATCCGTTGTTACCTTATTTAGCGCATATTTTTTATGTCATAAGTTTACTAAAGGTTATCGTTTGAATGTTTTAGATTACTGTTTTCTGAAACTTTTGACCATTAGACATCTAATCTAACATCACAAATTAGTGAAGCATTTTTTTAACCGATTTAAGTGAGAAAAAAAAATAACGAAACTAATTATGCAAAAGGAAACCAATGAGAGAGAGAGAGAGATGGAATAGAACAGATGAAAATTATAGTATTTTTGATCAGAAATCTCCAGCTGTTAAGATTGTCATTCGGATCCGGAATATCAAAACTCAATAGGAATAGTGAATTTCTCTCAACTATTTTTACTTTAATAGGAAAATTCATTTTTAATATTTCATGACGTGAATTTTTTTCATTTATTTTAAAGTTTGCTCTGTAAGTATACGATCGAAATTATGTTCCATTATTAAAGTTGATTATTATCAAATCTAATGCCAACAACAGTTTGCATTGTAACGAGTAAAAATTTTTTCCACGATTTATTTGTAATTTTGTCATTCATCAAAAATCAACATTCTTCACCTCTTCATCTCCTTTTTCATTTGCTTGAGGTCGATTTTTCATTGCTAATTCTATCTGCATGGGTATAAATATATGTGTGTGTTGTGATATGTCTGTGTATGTGTGTGTGTGTGTGTGTGTGTGTATGTCTCTGTGTGAGTGTGAGTGTTATTTGTATCGCATATTTACACAAGCCCTGTGCTACGTGTTTATTTTTGAACTTTTTTTCGATACACCGATTGCTCGTTCTTTTCTCCATTTTATTTGCCAGCCTTTTTCTTCATTCATTTCTTTCTTCTGCTTCCTTCTCTGTCCCTCATTTCGTTATCTTTTTGGAGACAAAAAAATCACTGATAACTAATATTCTTATATGAGCTTTCTGCATTGTGTCCTTGAGAATTATTTCTAACTTTCATTAGAGATGGTTTGAATTGATCCTAAAGGTCGGATATTTACAGTAACGATCTGCTTTCATTTCATCATACGTGGTGAATTTATTACAGTGGAGATGTACTTAAATTTTAATAATAAGAATATTCAGCCATTACGCTTGCCCTACTACACTGTTATAAAAATTAAAATTTTAAATACAAACATATTTTAGTAAGATATAATAGTGAGATACTAATATATGCTCAAGGACATTTCACAATGAAATTCGAAGAAAAAAACAGCCGTAGGCTGGATAGTTGTTATATGGATGTTGGGTTGAAAAAAAAAACGATTTCGGAAGATTTAAATCGTCATACTCTTGATTGATGTTCTATTTTAAAGGTTGTAGGGACACCTGGACTGGCAGTAGAAATCATTATGTTAATTAATCATTGAGTTTAGTTTTTTTGGTTTTTGGTAAACTTCGCTGCTTGTAATGTTCTGACGTCATCTGTTTATTTTCACCCAGCTATATCTTGAAAACCTACCCAATAGCGTGGTGGTTGACTCGTTCATGAGGTACATATGTTTTTGAAAACTTAACTAATTGTTCTGGCTAGCACTTCGGTATAAAAAAAATTCATTTTATAGGCGCCCATTATCAGCTTAACATGCCACAAGCGTATCAGGCGCGGACTGGTTTTGTTGGAAATGCGATGACAAGACCAGAATCTGCAACCGGTAAACGCGGTGGTCGGCGGCCAAAAGAGTACGAAGAATATGTTAGTAACAGTTCCTCATCACTGATTTTATTGTTTCAGTATAACTGCCATTTTAAAACTGGATAAAAAAACTCTCTTGTTTCCTCTTCCTTTCTTTCTCTTTTTCAGTTCCAGAATTTCACTTTGCAGGATCACGTGACACTGAGTGAGGAAGAACGGGATAAACGTGATAAAAGACGTCTGCGAAATAAAGAAGCAGCGGCAAGATGTCGACAAAGACGTCTTGATCTTATGGGTTCGCTACAAAATGTAAGATTTATGAATTGCAAGATGGAAAAAAAATTATTCAAGGCTTTTGATAGATTTTTTAACTCTTCTTCGTGGATCGGCGAATACTGAAAGTTCCTACGAAGATCAAGGGTCGATCTTTAGGAATTGAATGACACTACTATCAAAGATTCCATTCAGTTTTGCATAAAGTTATTCTATTGTTGATCTAAGCTGTCAGATCCATACAGCTTTCGTAAGAGGAATTTCCTTGAGATTTTATTTAGAAGTTTCGGGAAAAATGTTCTACCATATGTTTGATCACTATCACTAGTCACATACTGCGATTAGCTTAGGTCTGTGGAAATTTTCCTCATTATTAGATCAAGTGGAATCAGTATGCTCATTCTTTTGCTTTGGCAAAAATTTTTGGTGGAAATTTAATTTATGATTCCGTTTCTTTTCCTTTCTTACCTTCTCTCTGTCTTTTTCCTCATTTCATCGAAACGATGAAATCCAAGTCGCTGCTGAGTGATATTAAATAATACAATGTCATTTGAAAATTTTAAAATCTAACAAAATTAGGTCTGACAAAGTCAAACAAAACTGGACTTTCGTTTCGAAATTTAAATGACATTTATTTTAGCAAGTGAACCAACTGAAAGAAGAAAATAAAATGAAGGATGCAAAAATTGCTGAACTACAGCTATTGGTACGTTTTAATATGAAACAGTCACTTAATTTCGTGATTTTTTTCACATAAATTCTCTTTGGGTTATGAAAATCAGTCATCTTACAATATATTCAGAAAATATTTCTACCATAGGCAATATTGTATCAATTCAGTTCCCTAATTTTCTATAAATATCTCAGAAAAATGAGCTCATCGCTGTGATCCGGGAACATCATTGCGTTTTGCCGGAAGCTCTTCGCCAGACGTTAGATGTTGATATGTCCAGCACTCAGCAATACATGCCACGTGGTGCGCCAGCACCAGTAGTAACGGTACCAACTAGCACTGAAATTGTGACCTACACAGCATCTACTCCATCACCACAGCCAGTGCTCAGTAGTCGAAAGCGACCTGCCAGTGCCATGATACCGGATCTTAGGCAGCCACCACCACCACCACAACCGGGTGCGTCACCTCTAACAACAGCTGTGACGCTGAACAGAAATGATAACCAAACCAATATACTGACATTGACAAAGGTAAATTTATGAATTTACAAGTGCTCGATCTTAGTTTTGAAAATTGTAATTCTGAATTTTTCATTAAAATTAAAGTTGAATTTTTTAAATTACTTTTGCAAAGCTAATAATAAACGAATATATTTATTTTTTCTGTTATGGTATATGCTTGAATAATTTTTTAAATCCTTTAAAGAGGAAAAATTATTTTAGCCTTCTTCTATGCAAATAAAACAAGAGCCGACGTTGTTCGATGTTAATGGACGTGATTTACCAGATGAAGAAATAAAACGTCCAACATCATTAACATTCGCAGATGGTGTTACAACAACGACAACTTATAATTCGTTGAGCAGCTCTGGTGTACCCATCACAACGCCATCAAATTTGATTGGTGGAGGTTGTCATGAATTTTGTCTAAAATATTATTTTTCTTCTGAATTTAGAATTATGTGTTTTGAAAATAATCAAGATAATTGTATGGTTAAAAAGGAGAGTTTTAGAATTTTGAAGTACCTCAGTGTAGGAGTAAGTTAATCTTGCTTTTTCATGTCTAAGATAAAACTTTTTAATTGGTCCTTTAATAATTTTAGCACTTTAGCTTAAGGTTGAGAGTTTACTTATTGAGAGTACTTACATTTCCTTTTATCTCCTCATGCTTTTCTAACATAACTGTTATCTTAACTATAACTTCTCTTTTTAGCAACATCCGACTTCGGTGGTGTCAATTTGTTGGATGGTCCAACGGGATTGACACCTTGTCATCCACCACAAGCAACCGCATTTCAACTTCCAAGTATGACGGCTCCACTCGGCGAAGGACGCAGCTTTGAAACGTTGTGAAATTCGATTACTGTTGAAATGTCAAGACGGATACTCCAGGAAACTAAAGTTAGACGAGGTCTTCAATTGACTTATGTTATTTGTATATTATTAATTTGCATTAGAGTTTGAAAAACTCGTCGTTTGGCAAATCAGGCTGCTTGAATATTTGCATATGGAGTTTCAGGGGTAAATGTTGAAATGTATTTAAGCATTTCCACTATTGTCATACGTCTTGTAATTAAGCGATTATTTAACGTAGTTTGATTGAGAGCCTTATCATTTTGCAAAATGATTACCATGTTATGCAATTGAGTCATGAAATGTTTTATCGAATCCGTTCAAGCATTCTGTACGGATTGATTTTGGTCTTTTTGCGGAATAGTTTTTATTGTCGTGACTTCTAGCAAGCATATCATGATTTTCCCGAGTTGATCCAAACATATTATTTCATTGTTTAAATTTGTGATTTAAATCCATGCTGCTCATCACTTACGAAATTTTAGAGGATTTCTAACAAGTTTTTCTTTTTTTCAAGTTCTTTTCTGTCTGGAAGGAATGCTGTGAGATA